GGGGGTTGAAAAAAGTTCCACAAGTGAAGTGTCTTTTTTTCTTTCCCAGACACTGAAGTGTTGAACATGAAGAGGGTGTTGGGGTCACTGGCGTCGGCCAACGATGTGAAGGTACGGTGTGATGCGACGCTGTGGTGTGAGGCAACACATGAGCAGTCGCTTTGATTAATCGAGAAACACTCCACACCCAAAATGATCACTTGTTTGTCAATTAGTGAACTTTTGAAACCTTTGAATAAAAGTTAATTATGCCTTCACGCTTCCACGGTGAGCAAAGAATCAGACAGTGTTACTGAGTGGAGTTAAAATGCGTGACTCGTATATCAACAGACTCAGACGGTGTGACATAAACAACCTCACACTGATGGTTTATGCGGCAACATCCTCGACAGTTTTCTCCGTTGTTTAATTCTTTTTTCACGGTGAAGCCATGTGAGAAAACTTTAATAAGAATTCAAGGTTACATCGGGTGAGTCATGGATATTCCAAGGATGCTTGTTTATTTTCAGGAACGAAGGATAAAGGAGCTGGAGGAGTCCCTCACAAAGAGCCAGAAAGTGCAGGAGCTGATCATAGGTCAGTGTGATTAAAGATCATACACATTGATGTTAATCTCTATTTTTGTAAAACTAATTTGCATTCCTGTAACTACTACGATTAATAGTTAATGAAGTTTCAGCACTTTGTTTTAAAGGCCTCCCAACCTCACGTAAATCATAGCAAACATCATGTCTACATATCCAACAGAGTAACATTGTACACAATCATCAAATAATACATTTTAAGATTAACGTTTTTATTATCGATAGATAGATAAATACTTAATTCATTCCAAATTATTTTATTACAGCAGCAGTCTGTTCAGGCATTACAATATTTAAAATAAAGTATTAACACAATAAAATACAAATTAAAGGCAAATGTATCTGCAGTAGAAAAGACATGTATCACAAAGAATACACACTATAACATATTTGAATGTTCTTTAAACGACCAAAATACTACAGTAGCAGAAGTGGATAGTGTATATATATGTATTTAAGTACTTTTAAGAGAGCTTAGAAAGGTGTTTGTACACACATGTCGTTGACTGTCCTAAATGTCCTCTCTCAGAGACACTGAAGGACGATGACTACGACGATATCGCAGATGATCCCTCGGCCTCTGTTTCCATGGAGGTGGATCAGGACTCGCTGGCGTTGGGAGGGGAGGCAGGAAGAAGCTCTGGAGAGGTAAACACAACCTCCTGTCAAAACAATTTTTCACACAGGATGAACCCCAGACTGCAGGCTTCCTTTAGAAAAGCTCCATGTCTGCCTCCCACCCTGAGAGCGGTTTCTCCCAGGAATTCAGAGCTCGTGATCGGGGTATTTGAGATTTGTCAGGCTGTGTAGATGTTCGGCTGCTGGGAAAATATGTTTATTTAATCCGGTTTTTCTGTGTTGTCTCAGTCCATCCCTTGTATAGCAGTTCTGTCTGAGATGAATGATCTGGACAGAGAGCGACAGCTACAGGCGGCCCACAGGTAACACGGTCATCTCAGCTCACTGAAATATACTTCCTCTATCTTTCATTTAGTCTCAGGGGTGGGAATACAAACTGAGAAATATCTGCACAACATATCCATTTATTCTGACATGTTGTTTGAGCTTTCTGGAGTTTCTCCTAAACTATGGGACACGTTGTAAGAGTATGCTCTGTGTACGATACAGTTTCCTTTGAGTGAAACAGTTGCTAGTTGTTTAAAGTCCAGCTTCTGTTCAATCAACCAATTATAGTTGTGTCTCTCATAACTACATTATTCTAGCTCATGAGGCTTATGCCCAGGTTAAAAGTGGGCTATGTATTTAAAAATAACATTATTTATGTTTGTCTATCATGTATTTTTTTTTTAAGTTTATTTAAAAAAAAAAAATGCCTTAATTCCCTCTTTTACACAAGACGGCTAAATAGCATTAAAACATTTTAGGGAGGTCAGTACACTTTTCTTTAACTTTATTTAATTTTATTTCAGTAGGTTTTACACCAGTGATTTAACTTTTCATTATGTTATATGTCTGCAAAGTTTCTGTTCAACAACTATACTTGATGCTGAGGATATTTCAGTATGTTTGTTTTCTAATGAAGCTTAAAAACATAAATAATTGTTGTTGTTGTTTCAGTTCCTCAGACATCCCACAGCCGGACAGCTCGGCCTTCAGCAGCGAGCAGGTCAGGTGACCTCCCATGTCAACATGTTGACTGCAGTTAAAGAATCCAAAATAATAATCATATTATCCAATTGAATTTGAATCTATTAGTCTATTAGTTTCTTTCATGAGTCTCTAGTCACAGGACACACTGAGAGATGATCCTGCTCTGACACCTGGTGGTTAAACGGTGCAACTACATTTATGTATCAGGCGAGAATATGAAGGTTAAACAGAGGTGGGAAGGTACTCTGAACTTGTACTTAAGTAAAAGTAGAAGAACCAGAGTGTAGGAATACTCATTCAAGTCCTGCAATGAAATAGTATCTCAAGTACAACAAATAATCACACCAACCCTTTTTACATTCATTATTTTGTAGAATGTTCTCTCATTATAGTTTTACACTGTAAAAAAGAAAAGAAAAAAAACCAACAAATAAAACAAATTGTGTATGAATATATATTTTGTTTCTTAATTATCTCATATTTTCATATTCAAGGAATAATAACATTTCCTTTTCCAAACTATTGCACTAAATGTCATCTAAAATCCTTTACACTCCCTTTAATTGAGATAAACGTTTTAAACATTCTGGATGCTTTAGAGAGCGTGCAAGTTACCGATAATATGTTGGTTGGCTCATCAAAATAATAGTTAGTAACTTTTCTACCTTTTTGTATTTCTTTCTTCTCCTAGGCCAAAAACAAAGCACCCCTGGGTTCCTCGTCTCCCATCAGAGCCGGAGACGAGACCTTCGGCTCGAAGAAGGCCCGCTCCTCTTTCGGCCGCGGCTTCTTCAAACTGCGAGGAGGCAAACAGACCGCCAGCTCTCCAAACCTGGGTAACACTGACGCTGCGATTTCCATGAAAGTCATCACATTTCCTTTGGTGTTAAAGTCACTTTAATGTTTGTCACTGATCCTGGTGTTTGTTTCACTGCTGGTTGAATTGTGAAGACCGCAGCCGGAGTGCCAGTGCTCCTGCGTTAGGTACGGTAGAGCACAACCTGCAGATGTTTGCTCTGGATTAAACAGCTGGATGTGAAGTAACTGCGGTACTGACACTATGTGACCATTTCACCTACTGTAGGTGAACCCGAGATTCACATGCTGAACAGGTTTCCCTCCACTTTTCTCTAAATCAGTGGTTCCCATCTCTCTGACTTTTCTAACCTCATCATTCTGAGTTTGTTTCAGATGCAACAATTGCAGTTTTCTTATCCGATACATATTTATTTGGATAAGAAAAAAAATATTTTCATAAAATTCTTCTTATTAAAAAACCATGGTATGCTCATAATAAAACATTGACTATTTCACTACTAATATTTTCTTAAAACTGCAGCACATGTTTCAATTGAACCAATAAAACATTTCTGACCTATATGACTGATGGATTGTTGCATCTCTATAATTTTGAAGGACTTAAACTCTACTCAAAGTGATTTAGTGATATTAGTGATAGTTTCTCTCCTAGAGTCTCCTATATCCTGCTCTGGTTGAGGTTTCTCTCCATGATCTCACTGAAGCATCCACTTGTCCCTTATCCATGACTTTAAACCATCTGCAGTGAAGCCGTTTCAATGGGACTTTCCACTTAAATATGTATTTCTCCTTGGTAGTGGTTTACTAGTTGCATGGACGGTACAGCTCAGGTTTCTTTTAGTTTGTTAACATTGTGTCGTAGTGGTGCGTCTGTAGTTGTTATTCTGTAAACTCTGATCTGCTCCATTCGGGTTAAAGTATTTCTTGTGATTATTTTTCACAGCTGAGACGGAACGTAAAGGCACGGATCATCTGGACCTGGCCGGTGCTCCTCCTAAAAAACCTCTGGATGCTCTTCCCTGCTCACCTGAAGCCAAGAAGAAGTCCAAGGGCTTCATGAAGTTCTTCGGCAGGTAGGGGTGTGTCAGCTCTATCTAAAGTATTATCATAAGGTTCTTGACTGTATCTGTCATTTATACTGTGACACTCCTGCAGACTAAAGCGCAGTCACTCTACGTCCTTCAACCTGGATGATACAGAGACGGAGTTCAGGAGGGGGGGGGTCCGAGCCACCGCCGGCCCGAGGCTGGGCTGGTCCCGCGAGTCCAAACACAGGTCGGTGTCCAACAGGCGTCAGAAGCCTGTCTCTGTTCTCTCAACCACTGGATAAACTGTGATGAGTACCCCTCTCTGTCCCCTCAGTGCTGTGGACGTCCCCTTCTCCCGCTGGAGCAGAGAGGACGTGTGTGCCTGGCTCCATGAGCAGGGCCTCGGGCTGTATGTGGCCCCGGGGCAGAGCTGGATCAAATCAGGACAGACACTACTACGGGCTTCACAGCACGACCTGGAGAAGGTAGGACATCTCTGTTTGTTTGATTAGTCAATTAAATATCAGCTTTAGTTTAGGGTTTGTCTTTATCCAAAATGTGCACTTGGGCATGTTCCTCAACATTTAGACTCAAAGGGGAGGACGGGGATACTCTGAGATGTTTGTATCTGTAAATGTTCCCTGCGTGACGTTGTGTTCCTGTTCCCGGATCAGGAGCTGTGCATGAAGCAGCCTCTCCACAGGAAGAAGCTGCAGCTGGCTCTGCAGGCTCTGGCCTCCGAGGAGGACTACCGCAAATGCAGACTGGACTACAACTGGGTGACCAGTGAGTGTGGCCCTCTCTGACGACTGCACGGTCCCCACAGCTTTTACATCTAGACTACATTAATGTGTTCTGTGTTTTGACTTCAGGGTGGCTGGACGACATCGGCCTCCCGCAGTACAAAAGTCACTTTGATGAGGCTCGTGTTGACGGCTGCATGCTGCACTACATGACAGTGGTGAGCGGATGGATCACTAGGGAGATTTATGACTTTTTAATTATTCAATCATTGTGGATGTGTTCATGTATGACTTGAATAGTCATCAATAGAATTAGCAGCTATGATCAGGGTTGAAGTTGATGAAAGATTGAACTCTGTGAAAGTGCAACATAATGTTAATTCAACTACTTATGGCCTTTTTCAACTCTTTAAAAGTAGCTTTGATGTCCCTGAAAGGGAACAAAATCAAAGTGGGACTCAAGGGTTAAACATTTGTCATGTAGCCCTGGAGCCTTTGTGGAAAAAATGAAACTCTGACATGAAAGTGACAGGAAACCTTTTTTTGGACGAAAGGTTGTTAATCATTATTTTATATTCTGGCTGAACTTTCCCTCTGAATAAACCATAATGTCTTTTTTTTTCTGACCTGCTTCCCAGGAGGACTTGCTGTCTCTGAAGGTGGGCAGTGTCCTCCATCACCTCAGCATCAAGAGGGCCATCCAGGTCCTCCGCCTCAACGGCTACGCCCCCAACTGTCTGAGGAGACGGCCCTCTGATGAGGTACAGGAAGTCACAACCACTCTTCCTCATCTTCTTTAATTTCTCATGTATGCACCCCTGACATCCAGACTCTTCTCCCCCTCCAGAACAACATGACGCCAGCAGAGATCTCCCAGTGGACCAACCACAGGGTGATGGAGTGGCTGCGCTCCGTGGATCTGGCCGAATACGCCCCGAATCTGAGGGGCAGCGGTGTTCACGGAGGACTGATGGTGAGAGGCGGGGGGGGGCACAGCAGGTGTAGAGGAAATGTAACTAACACAGCTCAAACTGGGGGCAGGGTGAATATTGCTACAGATGTCTTTTTAAAAACAAACACAAATGTATAAAAAAAGGTCATAGGTGTTGAAAAAGACAACACTTGTTTATTTAGTTTCCTTCCTGACGTCTCCCTCCTCACCTCTCCTCATTGTGTTTTCTGAAATGTCTTCACACTCTGAAGGTGTTGGAGCCGCGCTTCAACGTGGAGGCGCTCGCCCTGCTGCTCAACATCCCCTCCAACAAAACCCTGCTGAGACGCCACCTGGCCACTCACTTCCACCTGCTCATCGGCTCCGAGGCGCAGAGACTCAAACAGGACTGTCTGGAGAACCCCGACTACTGCGTGCTCACCGCCACCGCCAAGGTCAAGGTACTGCTGTACACACACACACACACACACACACACACACACACACAAACAC